TGTAAGACAGTATCTTGCAGGCGTTAAAAAAAAATGGAAAATCTTGGTTTAAATATTACTCTTTTTAATCTGATATTGTATAGCCGATATCACTGTATAGCCGAAGGACCCCCTCTTGTCAGCGTAGCTCTCGCTGTTTATTGCGCCCCGAGCTTCAAGGAAACTTTCCCTTTAGGAGGCACCGATTGACGAAACGCAGACGTCGAGCGTTCGATTTTCCCTTCACTGAGATTATCTTATAATTTGTTCAAAATATTACAAATATGTTCACATATTTACAATATTTATTACAATTAAGAGGAATTAGTATATAAAGTAGCTGTATGTTTCGCATGATTCTGACATATAAATTTTGTATATACTTTGCATCTTATATTATATACAATTAGAACAAAATAACCCTGCATCCGCCGTGCGAAAATTAAATTAGGCGACGCAATGTGGCATTTACAGTACAGCTCTCATGTTCCCGACCGCAGTGTAAAAGCTAAAAGTGTACAGGGGCAAAGGGAATCAGCCACACACTCCACTTCGGTCTTTTCAGGAAACGGTAGCCGGTCCTCCGTGTCCTTGGGATTCGGTAAACATGTTCGTACGTCTCACTTCATCGTATGCCGTTTCGCTTGCATTCTTTATTGTGCGACTTGACCAACAACAAGGACATGCAAAGGACTCAGACGTCGCGATTGCCATAGCTACTGGGTCAAGCGCCACCAGTTGGCGTCTCACCTTGTCTCTGTGCACTTAGGACCTAATACACGAGTGACGCGATCCCGTTACAGTGTTGCAACGATTATTTTGGAGTAACAGTGAAACAAAGTATTTCTGTCTCATAAAAAAAGGATAAAGGAACTATACGTCTTTGTTCTTCCAAAATGGAAGATATAACAGCGTTATTCGTGTGCGTAAGTAGGTCTTTAGCTCGTAGATCGTGGTCGGGAACGTGAGAGCTACACTGTAATTGAAGATCAACTTCCTATGGTTTTACGAATAAAATTTTGGAAGTGTATATTTTTATCCTTTTTAAATCTTTAACATGACTTCTAATCTTTTTCCATAAGAAAATGTGGAAACAAGTTTCAGCTTTGAAGATTGATTCTGTTTACAGCTAGAAAGTTTTTGATTGAATTATATTAGTATCGTAAGTGGGTCGAGTTTTGAAATGAATTTATCTGTTTCGCTAAAAAGTAACAGCAAACAGTTATGAAATAAAGGAACAATTTAAGTCTACATCGTTTTACCTTCCACGTGAAATTTATTTCAGATTTATCACTGGTAATTGTATCATGTTGTATGATACTTCATGGTTTAACAATCACGTAATGAACGAGAGTACCCACCGATCGGAGACAACGTTTCTCGTGCCAGTAACTTCGGAAGGCAGTTGCCCGAAACACGAACGGAAAATAAATTATTCGGTTGGTGCTTCCAGAGTTAATTACACACTCCATTGAAGAGCAGTCATTTTATTCGGTCGAAAAATGGCAGTTTATTTAATCTTGAATTACGCAGACAATATCAATCGTTCACTCGTATTAATTTATTATTGCTGATTGGATATATATTATATTACTATAGGCTATACAAACTACAATAGTTTATCCATCTATAGCATACTCGAATTTACAAAAATAAGCTTTTAAATAATAAATAAATTTTATATTTAAATATATATAATGTAAAATATTCTCAGCTGTTTTAAACAACATTTTCCATGGCTATCATTGTAAAAATCGAAACTAATTTTTTAATACTTCTGCTGTCTATTATAAAATTACTACAGATTGTACCTTTATTTTTTATTTATGTTTATTTTAATAAATTTTCATAAAGTATGCATATTTCTTTATCGATTCGATTTTTGTGAAATAGTGCGTGAAATATGTAATTTATACACAGAATAATAATACATAGACAAAAATCGCCTGATCATTATTCATAAGGCTACAGTGTTACAATTTTATTACGTCTACTCACTGTTCAAATTGTAAAAGGTTCAATCTTTCTCAAACCTAACCAGGATCTTTCTCATGCTATAAATGTAATTGAAGAAAATCTACAATCTCTTTGTTACAACAGGAACGGTTTTAGCCTTAACATATTTAAACCCTCGTTAATTTCCTGCCAAGTGGAACACGATTCCACTTTAGAAGGGCGAGAGATTCGACTGAAATTTCACTTGCATATTTCGGTGAAAGGAAAAAAGAAAAAAGCGCAACGATTATCGCAGTGGATACTTTAATCCATAACCGCGGACATTAGTTATGCACGCGGTTATCTTCTCTGCGACTCGGAGTAATGTTATCTGCGGAGCATTTTTTGCAGAGGACATTCTTTCCCACCAATTTACTTTTTAATCCCTTGGATCTCTTTAATTTCCACTCTCTCGGATCCTTTAATACGACTCCGAGTTTATCAGTTTCCGGTCAGAACGACGCGCTTCGTTTCATTGCTGAAATTAACAATGAGGTAATTACAATTGTATCATTACCTGTGTCGATAATTCATTAATTATTTTTATTTTTTTCTCGCTGCACTTCGCTCCGTTTTTCAGAGGAAACAAAAATGTACAATCGCTTGAAAATATGAAATATCCATAAAATATTCATCTCATAATTTGTTTCGTAACTAAAGCTTTTATTGTGCATAAAACCACGTTTGCAATATTAATTACAATAGAAAATAAATATAAGGTTTCAGAAGACATTCAATGATACATTTACTCATAATTGCATTTTAAATGTAAATAATATTCCAACAGAAGAAGAAATTCATTTATGAGTAATTTGATTCGAAATTGTAAATATGTGTAAACGCAAAACGGTACAAAATTATAAATAAAAATTTTACGAAGTACTGTATGAACATTGTTTCGTAACCTTTCAATTGTTTCTTTCATTTCTTCCAGCAATTAAATTTTCACGTATCTGAATAAAGGCGAATAAATTCGTGATCGATACAGCACTCTATGGTTCAATTAATCGGAATTAACACAGCACTTTACGAACTATACCGTTTCACATTTTCTTTTTCAGCATGCATCACGGTACCATAATAACCAGCACAGAGTATATTCCTATCTATGCATTTTTACAACATACACCGACACGCATTCATTCAAGATGGCTTACACACACACAAACATACTTCGTCTACCTCCGAGCCATCCCAACTACCATCTAGTACCCTATTAAACTGTGTTTCATTCCATTGAAAACGTTGGAGCACCGCTACTTACTATTCAATTCTATTTTTCGTCTGATGCATAAACCGCGGAGTTCTATCTGATAAACGCGATCTCATAAAACTAAGTGCCATTGGATGTGATAAACGCGAGTTATCTCGTTCAGAAACCGAACTCTCTTAATACCTGGGTCAGATCTGATTTTAAGGGACGAGGACGGTGTTGGAAGGAAAGATGTCATCAAGAGATATATGATTCGAACTTTTTTATTATAGAAAATGAATAATATTTATTAAATAAGAGCACTTTATAATTTTTCGTTAGCGTACTTATATTTATTACATCCGAACATCTAAATACAATTTTGTTATATATTTATTTTATACCAATTTGTAGAATGTTGAATAAATGAATGTTTAAGACATTTAAATATTGGTAACATAAAAATGATTTGAATTTTAAAGAAGTGAATGATTGTGGTGTTTATTAGTTATTATTTGAATTTTTCATAACTACGACAAACATGAATATCTTTGAGAATTAGTGATTGAAAATAATATTAAAAAAATGTCGAAGTTCTTTTGATGTGCATGTGAACTATATACAGGGCATTCGACTGTAACCAATAGGAATTTTATGAAATGCAAAGAAACTTTTTGCGAACCAAAATAAAACTAAAATCGAGAGTGTCGATACTGCGGTTTCAGCTTCGTTTTCAAATTATTGACCGTTCAAAATCTCTCTGAACTATGACGATCCGTCAATAGTGGCGCGCGTGAGGTAGGTCAGCACGAGTGCGGACAATAACGCCCGCACGGCAGACAGAGACAGACGTCTGACTCAGGCGCCACTGTTGGCGGATTTCAATCGTTAATAACTTGAAAACGCGATCGAAGCCGCAGTTTTGTCATTTCTGATTTTTCTGTCCTTTTGATTTAAATATCACTGCCCAATTCATACTTTGTTACAGTATCAATAGGTTTAATCAATTGTATAACATACCTTCATGCACAAAAAAATTGTTAAAGCTGAAAAGCTGATTGTCCTTTGCAAACAGGATTTTTCAAGAACAGTATATAACGAAAAACCGATTTCCAGATTGACAGTCAACAACCCGAAATTTGCAAAAGATATCCATTGAACTTCGATGCATAAAATATTCTTTAATTTTAAATTAAAACGTACAAAATATTCGTTCCTCTTTCCTGTTACTTCACACGAGTAATACAAAAACCACCCAATAAGCACCAAAAAGAAAATGCGAACATTTCACGAGAATAGCACACGAAACGTTCTCTTCACAATCCAAACAGAGCTCACCAGAATCCAATCAAATTTACATGAGAAGAAACGAATTAGCTGCCGTCTGGGAACTAGGAAACAATAACAGTGCAATTCGAGTTAAAGCGTATAATCAAAATCCATTACGAACTCTCAAAAACCCATTCAAAAGTAAATGAAAACAATATGTATCTGGCAATCCAACCAAACCTTGCGCCAAAATCCAATCAAGTTTACGTAAAGAAGAAAACAAATTAGCTGCCCTCTCGGAATAGGAAAACAAGAACGGTACAGTTCAAGTTAGCCATTGCGGAAACGAGACGCATTTAATACAAAGGTGCTCCGAAACGTAACAACGAATGCGTCGGCGAGTATCACAGAGTCCTCGCACGGACGGTCCGCTTTGTTCCGGGCAATATAAGTGAATTTCCGAGGCCGCGGTGGGAGCGCGAGACCTCCCGGTGTCTCTGGCGCGCGTTTACGGCAGCCGGGCAACGCAGACTTTAATATAAAATTACCGCTTTAACTGTTCCAGTGACGGGGCTCGAGCCAGACTTCGAATACCCGTTGGAGAACGTAACGATCCCGCAGGGTCGAGACGCTACCTTCACCTGCGTGGTGAACAACCTCGGTGGATACCGGGTGAGTCCTTCCTCCTCCGCGAGCGGAGATCACTCTGGCGGCGCCAAGGCCCGGGTAACTATTTTACCATTAACCTGTGTCCGCCTGTAATGGACTACCTTATCTACTACTACTAAACCTACTACTACTATCATCACTACTACCTACTACTACTATTACTATTACTACTACTTATGCACCACTTATATATATATATACATATTATATATATATATATATATATACGCCGCGTGTGCCTGCACCTTCACCAGCACTGCATTTAACTGCACCAATGCCAGCTATGAGAAAGAAAACCACCGCAGCAGCCGCAACTATCATCAAACCATATCTCTCTGTCTCGCTCTGTCTTAATTTCTCTCTTCCTCTTTCTCTCTATCACTCTGCCTATTTCTCTCGCTCTTTCAACCTAACCCAGAACCTCTGTCTCCCTCTGATCGCCGTACGACATCCATTTTCACCCATCAGACCGATAGAACCCGGCGTACCGACCGCGAACTTAAACTTCGCCGGAGTTCCTCCGTCCTTTTTCTCCCCTTTCTCCGTTTCGCCCGTCCACTCACGACTTTCTCGCGCGAAAGACCTTCCTCTAGCCAGCGCGCGGTAACGAG